ATATATATATATATAGTCGAAATAAACTCAAACTCAAGTTCTGCCCTGTGTGTTGATTTAATAAACATTTTTGCACAAACAGTTTTAAAATAGCAGTTTTGTTACATGGCCCTCTGGTCAGAGTATATGTTGCATATTAATCTTAGCTACAGCACAACCAAATTTTAGAAATTGTTTTGTAAAATTGGCACCATGGTAGCCATTTTTGTGTTTTCAAAAACTGCTTAGCTACAATCATATGATTACTTCTTCTTGAGAGGTTTATTAAAACACGTTGACTGGTTTTATAAGATATTTTGGTAATAACACTTGACACAAGTCAAAGTCAAGGCCAAAATCTGGCCCTTTTTACCATTTTATACAACCTTAATGTTAATACTTGAAATATAAACTAGTTCTCCATTTCTTTTCCTAACCTCTGACTGTTTTCAAGCCAAGAAAATTAAGTTTGAATTTTTCCAGCAGTCTTTGACTTTAATGATCTTTTGCTGTATTTGCTTCACATTTTAAAGTCAAATAATTGGAATTTGTCTAATTATTGAATTGAGAACTCGAGGGCTTTATGAAGTGTTATATTTAATGATTTGTTGCATGCAACGCAAAAAGTTTGTTCTGAGTTTTAGCTATGAGCTCATACACTCATGCAAAGTCAGCATCTGACCACCAGTTTGTATTTTTTTTACATTAGTTCAAGAAGACGATAAACAAAACAGAACAAAGAGAATCTAAAATGAATCCTGATGTTCCGCTAGCAACCATGTTTCAGATTGTGCCTGCAGACGCTGCAGGTGGAGGAACGTGACATTTTGTTCTGGATCCCCGAGACCCTCAGCTGCATTTGCAAAGTGCTGTTTGGTGCACTCAACCAGCAGGTGTGAACTGGTATAATAAAAAAAAAAACATCAAATCTGCTCTAACAAGGTATTTTATTAGAACCTTACAGAATCTGGCTAAACAACTTCCACGTAGTTTTTTTAAACGAGAATCATTGGATGTAATGTTTCAGTTCTGTGTGGGGAATTAGCCCAGTTTCCTCACATGCAGGTGGTGGTCTCAAACACCAGAATTTATTTATTTTTCTCCCCCTCTGACACTTGTCGCTCTACATGGAGAGCCTGATGTCGAGGATACAAAAGCCTGACTACAGGCTGTGGGGCTGTGCGGTGTGGGAGTGTGTAAAGGTTTCAGCCTGACAGGAGAACAGCGGTAGTACAATGCATGCCTCTTGTCTGGGCAGAATGGAGCACGGGGCAGGGAGGAAACACACAAACCCAGGGGAGCTGACCTCCTGATTTAGCCAGCCTCCTGCAGGAGGCAGCTGGGACTTTCTGCTGACTGGGCACTTCTTGCAGGACAAGGGAGAAAAAAARGGGGCTCCTGTGTCCTTTTAGGAGCCACGTTTTTATTTCCTCTGTCCTTCTTTTACCACATACATTCACTCTAATTGACCTGTTTGTGTCTAAATGTCAGATATTTACACACAGAAAGATATATTCACATAAATTCAGTTTTGGTCAAAACATTTTGTGAAATGTCATGCAACTTTATGGTATCTTATCATTTAGCAGTGAGTGATGGTCAACTACTACCATGATAAATTTAAACTGAATATCTGTAAAATTCACTCAGATAAAGTCATTTTTATGTAAGCTAAAATAAATAAGCTGTGGCTTCCATCTTAAATTGGATTGTCTCCTAAAGGTAATCTGTTGTAGATGTGAAGCCATTAATCACATTGAAATCATCTCTGTGGTTTAAGAGATATAAACAGACAAACATACAGTAAAGGTTTTAGGCAAAAATCATATGCAATATGTTGCACTCAAAGTATGCATTAAGCCGCTACTATGACACCAAATCTTTCCTCAATAAAGAGGCCAAGGTGTAGACATTTTTGTGTTTTATACAATTGTTTGACTGTAGTGGCCAGCTTAAACTTAAATGACTTTAAAATGTTTTCATTTCTAGTTGGTCCCCCAATAACTGTTTCCTGAAAGTTTCAATAAAATCCATTCATTTGCTTAGGATATATTTTGCTAACAGGCAAACATGTTTGACTTCAAAATTTAACACTCTTGTTTTAGGCTAAATCATGTGCCATGTGTTGCACCCAAAGTAAGCATTAAGGACAATACTCAGCTATACAATGACACCAGATTTTGTCTAAATATCTTTAAAAGTGGCTGAGTTGTAGACATTTTTGTGTTTTCTACATTTGTTTGGCTGTAGTGACCACCTTGAATTAAGTTGACTTTAAAGTTTTATGATTCCTAGATATTTACCTAACAATCATATTCTGAAGGTTTCAGTAAAATCCATTAAGTGGTTTAGGAGATATTTTGCTAACAGACAGATGGAGTTGAATCCAATAGTTAAAAGCAAACTTTTAAAAACAGATCTTGGTAAATTAGTCAATGCTCCAATTGTATGTTGAGGATCAGTCTCAGCCACTTCCTCACCAAAGTTGAGCTTAGTATATGTACAACTGACTGCATAATTACTATTTTAATGTGTGGTAAAATCACTTTGCTGTGGCGGCCATCTTGAATTAAGTTGATGCCAAAAGTTAGTCAGTTGTAGATGTGAACCCATTTATCACTTTTTGAAAGTTTCATTAAAGTTCATTCAGTGGTTCACAAGATATTTTGCTAACAGACAGACAACAAACCTCATATAATTACCTATGATAATCTCTCCTTTTTTTGGAAACTCAGCTCTAAAACCAGCAAACAGGAATAAAATCGTGATCTCTGGAGACAGCGGCGCCTTTCAACACAGAGACGTGAGCTGGAGCTGTTTGACTGGGAAAGGAAATGATGCAGACGAACAAAAACGCCTCAGCAACAGGCTGCCGGCGCGTCGCTGTCCGTGGTGCTGAACCGGCAGCGCCCTCGGGATTCAAGCGATGCCCCCCCCCCCCCGCCCCGTCTACGTGTGTGCATACTGTTAGCAAAATATCTCACGAATGACTGGACGAATTTAAACAAAACTTGCACAAAGCAATTGCTCAATATCCAACTACAAATGATTAAGATTTTGAACAATCTCTTTCAAGACGCCTGCTACAGCAAAGAAACATCACCAAACACAAAATCGGCTGTAACTCTGTCATTTTTATAGATACTGGGCTCAAATTTGATTTGGTAATAGCTGAAACTCAGTCCTAACACTTATTAAGAGCGGTAAACCATAAAGCGAGATTTTTTTTTAAAACATCTCCAATAACTAATAACATCAACCATGTTTGTTTGTTAGCAAAATATCTCATAAACCACTGGGTGGATTTTAGTGAAGCTTTCAGAAATTAACCACTTAATGCGTGACAATAAGTGATTAAAGTTTGGAAAGTGACAGATGAGTTGAAGTTTATCTGGCAGGTGGAAGCCCCCCCCCAATCAAAACTCATAAAATGAGGGGTTACGTAAAAGTCACGCTTTACCTGAAAGCAAAGGATCTCATGAATGTTTTGTCTCATGTGTCATTGGATCAAAACAAGCAACGGAGACACAGTTTGTGCAGCAAATTCAAACAAGTCACTGCTTAAATATAAAAATGACAAAACACACGCAAACAGAAGCTGTAACTGTTTCAACTTGTTTTGCCACTTTGACCGCGAGGAGCCTCACAAACCTCAGAAATAAATATACATTTATGTCAAAAGAAAAGACTGAATGGACGGTGTGTCAGGCAATGTGTGAGACGGAAAATCACTCATCGGGAGTGAGAAATGCGCACTTCCCCGTTGCCATAGCGGCGGCTCGGGTGGACGCAGCCTGACTCTTAAAAAGGACCCCCACAGTGGGGACTGTTTTTTTTTCTATAAGGCTGTGTTGTCAACACTTGATGACAACCTTTCCTTCTTGTCAGTTTTGAAGCCCTCCCCCCAWCCCGAGACGATCTAATTAAGAAGCCCCCCTGAGAAGTCTGATTTGGTTGTTTCGGGGCGCGCGGGGATTAATGACACTATTTTGAAGTTATGAACCATTAGGCGCTGTAGTGGCAATTGTAATCAACTTTAAATGCACGCAATCAGATCTGAGCAGACAATTGCTCTGCAAAAAAAATTWAAAAAATAAAGAAGAGAATTGACTTTTGAAGACAAAGTTGAGAGCTGATGCTCCTCGGGGAGGGGGTCCTCTCTCTGTGCAACGGAAACTTTCTTCTCTAATAATCTCATTAACGCTTCAGTGGAACTGGAGGTGAAAAGTAGCACTGCTGGGGAAACTAATGACAACTTTTCAGATATCAGAAATCAATTGTTTCCCTTTTACTGCAGTTTAAATGACCAGCAGCAGGAGCAACAGAAGAAGTGAAGTGATGCTTTTTAAAGCTTCATTTAACTGTTGCATTAAACCACTCAGAGTTCAAGTCACAGAAGAGCTCTAAAAACAACTCAAAACCTCCTGATATGAAGCCAAGTTGTGATCTATGATTTTAAAATACAAACATTTATTCCCAGTCTTAATGTGAAGCAACATGAGGTGAACATGATGCACATCTGGGCTTCAGTGTCAACGTGGCCACTCTGGAAGTGTTAGAATTAAGGTGGGAAATAAAAACAAAGATTCTTACCAAATCTTAAAACGTGSGGCATCCCGCGAGTGTAACCAAGAAACAGCAGCAGAAGAAGCGGGATGAGCCTGAGGTTGGACCTGGAAACGAGACTGGTTATCATCAGATGATGGGAGGTAATCTTCATGTTGTTTAAAAAAATACAAAATTAAAAAAAAAAAATCAAAAATGCACAGTGGTTTAATCCGACTCCCGTCCTTTCCTGGAGCGAGGGTTTGAATCCCCTTGTAAAATTTTCTACGCG